TGCTGACAATCTGGAGATTGAAAAGTGATTCTGAAGTATTTTAGTGTTTCTGTCCAAAAAGAAACATTTGGAAAAATAATCGTGTAAAATTTTTATGGTATCTTCTCTTTCTTACTTCCTATTGAGTATATCATGAAGAAACATCAGTAGTTATAAGAAAATAACAAAATGAGGTATATTTCATTTTCCATCAAACATGCCTTGCTGTCTTTAAGTCATTTTTCTGTCCCCAAAGCAATAATCTTGGAATTTGAAGAGAAAAGAGACAGAAGCCCTATATCCATGTGGATAGAAATCAATGAAGCAAAGAATACAGATAAATTGTCCAAATTTCAAAAAGGAAGTCACATTTTAAAATGTTGAGAAACTAAAAGCCAGAAGAAATTATTTTTCCACACCTAGGTTTCTTTCTCTTGCATTCACTAAAGAGCATCCCCTGTCCTATGTTTACTATCCTTCCCAAGCTCCATCTTGTTCTCCAGTGACTCTCTACATTCAAATTAACAAAGTATTCCCTAATCACTGTGAGGATTTGCATAATATGACAGATGCTTATTTATCTTGGGGGGCTCTCTAGGAAACCTGCACATATTTCTGAATATGTCTAGGTTAAAATATTGTAATGTATTAATATCATAGAAGAGTTCTTTAATATAATTTAAATATTAATTAATTCATTTTTATCAAAGCTTTTTATGAATGCTTATACTGGATTTTATGTAAATTTTTTCTGCCATATAATGAATAGCAGTGATTCACAATGACTGCTCCTAGTGGCTATAAAATTATATCTTATAAATCTGGTTTAAATAAGGATTTCTAGGGCTGGGGCTGTAGATCAGTGGCAGAGGGCTTGCCTCCCACATGTGAGGCACTGGATTTGATCTTTAGTACAAGTTAAAAACAAAGAAATAAAATAATGACATTCTGTCCATCTATAACTGCATTCTTTTAAAAGAAGGATTTCTAAAGTAATAGAGTTATGCAGAATTTTGTAGTTACATTTCTCTAATTCTTGTGTCTCTTTTTGAATTCCACTGTTTGTTGTTCAGTAGGTTTTCTCACATCAGTCAATGTTTTTGTTTTTACACCTATATATTTTAACTGAACAGAAATTCTCCTGAACTCTCACTTGAGAACTATATTAGGTAAAATTAAATTGCATGTGAACCATGTGCCCATTTTTAATAAAGTTATATATGCTTTTACTTTCATGTATAAATATTACCCCTGTTTTGTTCATGATTTGTATAGAGTGCCTTGATTATTTACACTGTTCATGTGATCATTCATATAATTTATCTAAATTTTATTGTATATATGGACACATATTGGTATATGTTTTCATACTGGAAATTGAACTCAGGGATGCTATAATATGGAGCTAAATCTCCATACCCTTTTTACTTTTATTTTGAAACAGATTCTTGCTAAGTGGCTGAAGCTGAATTTGCATTTATCTGCCTCAGACTTTCAAGTAGCTAGAATTACTAGCACATTCACCATCTCTATATAGATGAATCTGTTCTATTTTCTAGTACTAAGATTTTAACATTTTAAAGATAAAGATTTTCAGAATTCTTTTAATCATTTATATATTGTCAAATTTTAGTCATGATCAAAACCATTAACTTATTTAAACTTACTGTCTTATACATTTTAAATGTAGTGTTCACTAGTGTTGATTCAAGTTGTTTTATAACATACAAAGTTTGTATCACATAAATATAAAATTCATTTTTCCCCCAAACAAGTGCTCATTCATCTCTCACCTTTCCATCCCTAAAGCACTCATTTCAGCCTGCATGTTTGGCTACATTAGATCTCTCATGAGTAGAATCACAGGGTACTTGTCTTGTGAATGATTTATTTCGCTTAGCATACTACCCTAAAGGTTATCGTTGAGGTATTATATAATTCTTATCTTTTTAAAGTTTAAAAACTTTTTTTGGCACAAGGGATTAAACTCAGGGACATTTCAAACACTGAGCTGCATTTCCAGCCATGTTTTAAAAATTATTTAGAGACAGGGTCCCACTGAGTTGCTTAGAGCCTCACCATGTTTTTTTTTTAAAAAAATTATTATTATTTTTAGGTGTAGTTGGACACAATGCCTTTATTTTATTTATTTCTATGTGGTGCTGAGGATTGAACCCAGGGCCTCACACTGTTAAGCTAGTGCTCTACCACTGAGCTACAACTGCAGCCCCAAGGCCTCACCATTTTTGAGGCTGGCTTTGAACTTGTGATTCTCCTGTCTCAGCCTCCTGAGCTACTGGGATTACAGGTGTGTGCCACTGCACCTGGCAAAGTTTGAAATTTTTCATGGTTCATTCCAAATTGCCTTCATGCATTCATTGTTAGACCAGGACGCAAGAAAAGACCACTGACTCCAATTAAAATCAAATTAAAGCAAGCTTATTATTTCGACCGGCCGGACTGCCTTTTCCTCCCAAAACGGCAGGAACAAGACAGCAGCCCCAGCTTTCCTACAGCCCAGCTTTATAGCCCAGAAAGTTACACAAAAGGGGGGTTACAGATAACAGAACTCTGACAAGCATCACACTAATGGTAGTTTACAATTTTTGCTGGCTCCAACATCAGAATTTATGAAGACCATTAGAGCCTCAGAGAGGGTCGTTGTCTGGCCAGGGAAGACCAATATTTATGAGGTGTCACTAAAGTTTCAGAGAGGGCTGCTGTCTGGTCAGAGAGCCAGGCATGGGTGAGTTCAAGGCACGGGCAGGCATTCCAAGCAGCTTCAGAATTTGCAATAATTTATAGTAAAGCCGAAATTAGCTTTTCATGGCTTTGTGGTGAGAGGGCTCCCAATTTAATAAAAGATCAGGTTGGGTTTATCATCATGAGAAAGGGTATTTGATTGGCTTTCCACATTTGTCTCTATTGAATGTTGTAATGAGCATAGATCTGTAAATATATTTTCATTTGACCATCAAATTGAGGGCCAATTGATGTACTTTCAGTTTTGTTACATATACCTTCCTCATCTAACTTTGTGTTAACATAAAGCTTCCTATTTTATGCCAGGAAGCATTTTTTAAAAAATTTAATATGTTTAGTTATTTATGTACCCTGGATACTATACAAAATTTTTGTTCTGCAAAATAATATTGAACATTTGAAAGGTATTATATGGACTTCTTAGGTGCTTTGGGTGCTGTAGGAACATTACATCAGGGTGCTTAACCTCTGAGCCACATCCACAGCCCTTCTTTTTTTTTTTTTTGGTACTGGGGATTGACCCCAGGGACACTTGCCCTCTAAGCCACATCCCAAGCCCTATTTTGTATTTTATTTAGAGACATGGTCTCCGTGAGTTGTTTAGTGCCTTGCTTTTTCTGAGGTTGGCATTGAACTCTTCTGTCTCAGCCTCCCTCACTGCTGGGATTACAGGATTGTGCTACCATGCCTGGCCATGAGCTCTTGTTATTTTTTTATTTTGAGACTGCTTCTTGTTGAATTTCTTAGACCCTTGCTAAGTTGCTGGATATAGCCTTGAACTCATACTTATGAATTTTTGGTTATCTCTTCTAATTTTGATTTTAAACTAGTTACCTTATGTTAGAAAGGAGTTTCAATATATTTAATAACTATTAATATTTGTTTTGAGCTTTAAATCTGGTGTCCTTTGGATAATATTTCATAAACTATTTAGCCATAATTAGTTTATAATACTTTTTGAAGTTTTCTAATCCCTGGGTACTATTCCAATGCTATTTTGCATTTATTGGGGATGGATGTCTCCTACTATTATTTTATTGCTTTCAATGATGATGAGTTCTTTTAATGTTTCTTATCTTTGTGAAATATGATTTGAGTTACACATATATTTACTACTACTGTATTCCAGAGATTGGCCACATTTATCTCTATATAATATTTTACTATGTCTCTGATTATTTTCATGTAATTATTACCATCTTTGCAATTTTGAATGTAATATTTCTTTAATTCTTTTGTTTTTAGTCTATTTGTGACCTTTGATCTAAAGAGAATCTTCTGTAGATTTAGTTCTGGCATAATTAACATATTTTTTGTTTAATCTTGTTAGTCATATTTGTGTTCTTTTTTTTCTAAATGCCAAGATAAGAAACAATTTATTATAGAGAGAAGAAAAATTTCTCATCCAAAATATAGAAATCTGTACAACTTTGCCACAATCAATATACATGAACTGTACAAATTTACACCAGTTCATAATTTACCAAACAAAAGATGACTAACAAAGTTCACAAAATAGATGGTAGTTTGTGGAAAAGACTTTTACCCAATTAAGTACAAGGAAAGTTACAAACCAGACCTCCACTTTCTAAAAATAAGAAGTTTACTCAGTCTTAGAAAACTACAAGCTAGCAAATGTACAGAGAGCTGGCTGGTGTTAACACCACAGTTGAGACAGTGTCTTTTTTAAGGGTCTTTTTTAAAAGCCTGTTGCCATGGCAGATTCTGGTCACTTGCTACTTCCAAAGCCAAAAACACAATACAAGGTCTGACCATTTCCCCAAGTCATGCTTACTAGTTTGTCTTTAGGCACATTTATACATATTTAAGTGCTAGGTAAAAGTCTTGTAAAATTTCCAGTACTACCATGTTTAAAACAAGCTTTCCTACTGAGCTGCCAAAAAGGTTATCAACAACAATTTTCAAGTGTAATAGTGCAAATTCCTCTGCAAGATCTACTGCAGAGAAAGGTTTTTTGAAATACAGATTTTCCTTAAAGGGATTGATGATAAAATTTAGGTATGTCTGGGAGAAACTGAAACCACCCTAGGACTTCACTCCCTAGCAATTAAAGTGATCATTTACTTGGACTCACAAGCTATTAAATCATTGAAAGGTACTGTCCAAACTATGGCACTGTCACTCAAAAAAATTTTTTTACCACTCTATCTTGTGCCAGATCTTCACAGCTGTGACATGGTTTAAATTCCATAATCCATCCCCAAGAGGAGCCCCCCCAAAGCAAAAATCAAACTTATCCATCCATCCATTATAAGATGATCCATCCATAGACTATCTCTTAACCGGATACAGTCATCATATTGTAGTTTTTGGAAGGGCTTGTTCTGCCCAAGAGAAGTTCCTCCTTACAGCTGATTCTGCTGTCTACCATTTGCACGTTGGTGCGGTTTTGAGTGCTATCTCCTGCTGGTGAGGCTTCATACAGCACACAGATGGAGCCATCCTCTCCAATTCTGTAGGACACTTGGTAGGGGTCAACCCAGAGTGTGAGTTCACTTGGGAGAAGCCTGAAGGGCTCCTGACTGCTCAGTCCAATCCGCGGTGCTGCCTGTCCAGTCAGAGGATCCATTTTATGGTTGATGCCAATACAGCGGCTTTTCAGGGAACCACTGATGTTCATGAGGTTCTGCCAGCAGCGCTTGCAGGCTCTGGCTGAAGGTCTGCAGCTGTCGCTGGCTCGAGAGCCCCTTGGTGCGGAGGAACTTGGAGATGAAGGACACCGCAGCCGCGATGTCGCCTATCATGGTGGCAGCCCCGGGGTAAAAGGGATGCATGGGGGCGGCCCAGGGCGCGGAGCGACCACCCCGGCTCCCTCACAGACCAGACGGTTGAGAGGAAGGGAGGGTGTGAGGGGCCGGCTACTTTTCCCCCTTGTTTTAGAGTAAAAAAGTTATTTCGGAGACAGGAGGCGGCAGGAGAGAGGAAGAGACGAGTGGTGGCGCCCGGTCACATCGCTGGACCTCCCCAGCCGCCGCCGCCTCCAGCTGGTAGCCTCCAAAGACCCCAAGAGTTGCATTTCCAGCTCCAGGGGCCCACATTTGTGTTCTTATTAGTGTTTCATAATAGTTTATTTGTGCTTAAATTACGGATGAGGAAGAACTTAGTTACTGGAGCTTTGCAAGTTTTATTGATTTTTTACAGTTTGTCTACTATTTTATTTTAAAAAACTGCTTTAATCTGTGGTTCATAGGTTTTATGGTGATGTTTTGATTCCTCCATATTTTCTTTTTTATCTTCTCTATTTTGTCATTACATTGAGATTATGTAAAAGTGTTTATGGGGCTGAGTTTTTGGCTCAGGGATAGAGCACTTGTTTAGCATGTGTGAGGCCCTGGGTTTGATCCTCAGCACCACATATAAATAAATAAAATAAATGTATTGTGTCCATTTACAACTAAAAAATTTCTAAAAAGTGATAGTGTTTTTAAAAAGTAAGTAAAATAGTAGAATGAATTGAAAATAACTTTCCAATGTTCACATATAAATATACCACCAGTGTAACTCCATATCATATTCAACCAAGGAATGGGTAGTTATACTTCACGTATGTTTGTTATGTCAAGATACATTCTACTGTCGTGCATAACTAAAAACAATGACAAAAAGAATTACTTAGTTTTCACTCTATTTTAAACTGACCTAACTTTGGTTTTCTAAAACAATCCTTGTCTTCACATATCTTCTTTTGATTTGTTATTAATGTCAAGCTGCTTTTGTTCTTTATACCTATTAGTAGAGGTTTGTGATAGTTTTTATGATTTATTGCTTCAAATTCCATAGTAGGTGTAAATGTTTTATGTACCACAATGATAGTAAAATGGAATTTATACTTGTATACATTTTGCTTTTCCACAAAAGCTTTCAAATATTATATGATTTTAATTGCTGTGCTTATTTATTTTCTTGGAAGGATTCCACTTAGTATTTCTCTTAGACAAGACCTAGAAGTGAGGAAATTTTTGAGCATTTATATGTCTTAAAAGCCTGTATTTTTCTTAATTTCAAAAAGTAATATCGGTAGATATAGTATTCTAGGTTGATTTTTTTTTCATTCAGTCCATATGACTATATACTTCAATTTATGTCTCGTAGTATTCTGCTAAGAAATTAATCATTAACCATATAGAAGTACCTTTGTAAATGAAAACTCTATTTTTCTTAGTCCTACAAAACAATTTTTCATGAAGAATTCTAAAAGTGTCCCTTTAAATTCTTTACCTTAAATCTTTTAACATTTGATATCATTTCCTCCTACTATTTCTAATTTATCAGACTTTCTTTCTTTCTTTCTCTCTCTCTCTCTCTCTCTCTCTCTCTCTCTCTCTCTCTTCTCTTCTCTTCTCCTTCATCTTCATCTTCATCTTATTGGGTTTTTTTGTTTGTTTGTTTTGGTGGGGTTCTGCTGAGAGCCACACTGAGTCGGAATGGCCCCTGGCATTTTGCCAATAGTATTGGTTGACAGGTGAGGCATTACTTTGGAGTTCTCACGCTACTTTGGAGTTCTTGTGGGGATCCCCAGGGATTCCCGGAGAGTTCCCATTGGTTGGGGAAGTGCAGGACGAGGGATTTCCGGAGGAGATATTTCCAGTGGCTGGTTCCTGGAGGAGCTGCTTGGTGGTCGGCAGATTTCCCGGGAGCGGGTGTGGAGTGTGCTGGTAGAGTTCAGAAATAAAGTTTGTTCCTGCTTCAGTGGCTCGTGATTTGTGCCCAGCTAGATTGCGGCAGAGTTTTTTGTTTGTTTGTTTTGTTTTGTTTTGGAACTAGGGGTCAAACCCAGGGCTTTGCGAATGCAAGGCAGATGCTTTGCCATTGAACTACATCCCAGCCCCAGACACTATTTCTTAAAAAAAAAATTTCTAGTTCTATTTTTTCTGTTGATATGTTTTATTTTTCCTGATTTTTATTCAATTTTCTCCATTGCTAATTAGTTCATTAAACATCTTTCAAGTGATTATTTGGGATTTCTTAGATAATTAACAACTTTCAATTTCCTAACTCTCACTTACTAGTGTTATATTGTATCTTTCCTTGAGGGAACTTTCCCCTTTTTTGCATGTGCTGTGATTTTTGTTGTGATTTTTCATTTAAAATCTCCTTAAAATACTCAAAATGGTAATTTTGGAAAATGTTTGGAAGCAACTAAATAAACAAAATTAGGTCAGGTGCAATGATATATAACTGTATCATTTGGGAAGCTATGACAGTTGTTAAGGTCTGTAAACAAGTCAAAATAACACCTGGTATTTTGCCAGGGGAATGTTAGAGTTTGTAAACAAGTCTGGATGGTGCCTGGCAAAATGCCAGAGGGAGTGGTTTGAGAAATAACAAAAGCGAGCCATTAAGTGTGGAGATTCCTTATTGGTTGACTGATGTATCTAGTTTATGCTAATTAAGATAAGCTGTGCAAAATGTATAAATAGCTCTGTTGTCCTACAATAAACGGCTCCCTCTCCTGCTGTATCAACGTACACAAGTTATTCGTCACCCCCCTGGTTATTTTGCTGCAGCCGGACTGCGGCAACAGTAAGATTGTAAGTTTGAAATGAGCTTCAGCATCTTTGTGATATCCTGTCTCAAAACATTAAAAAAAAGTATACATATAGATAGGTCTGTGGATGTAGTTCAGTGGTAAAACACTCATATGTTCAATCCTAAGTAACACTCACAGCAAGAAAACATAAAGTATATATGGGATAAAGTTATTTTCTGCAACATTTTATTTGTGTGTGTTGCTAGGGATTGAACCCAGGACTTTGTGCATTTGAGGCAAGCACTCTACCAAGTCAGCTATATCCCCAGTCAAGTACTGCAACATTTGAGTTAGATGTGGAATATGAAAAAGTTGAACTGAGAAGCTGTGAATTGACATTGTTGTGGTAACAGTTTGAGGTTTGTTCTTATTTGTGGTGCTTTAAATTTGCAAGATGATTTTTGAAGTTCTCAAACTTTTGTCAGCAAATTGTTGTAAATTTCATATATTTATTGAGAAGAATGACCTTAGATTATACTGTTCTCTTGCTATTCCCCCCTTTGATAAAATTTTATATATTTACATAGTATAGTAAGTGGATAATTTGTTATTTTAATTTATTTCAGGTATGTCTTCTCATCAAAACCCAGAATTTTCAGGAGAGCAGAAAATAAAATATTTTTTGCAAAACTTGATTAAGAGAATGTATGGAATCTATATTTAGTTTTAAACAAGGAATGGAAAATTGTGGAGAGAGGGAAGTTCAAAAAAATTGTCTTAATGAACAAAACAAATGCATGACAATTATTTATAATGAAAATTACACGTCATCAGGTTATGTTATTACATAACATCTCAGAAGACTGATAACTTATGCCAGTCACTTTTTGTTTGGATAATACTTTCAATTACATAATTGTAATTACACAATTTTCACTATTCATCCTGAAGCCTCTCTCACTTCCTGGATCCAGTCTCCAGAGGGCGGCCCAAATGCCTCCCCTCACGTCCATCCTGAGCTCCCAACCTGTGTCCGGTCTAGCCACTTGAACTCCAGCCCTTCCCTTTGCCCACCCCCATTTTAAAATCAGCCAGTCACGTAGATTGGAACCCCCAGTTCCTCCCATCCGAGTGAGGGCCAGTGCTGCCTTAGGGATAGAAGCAGTGGACGGCCTGCCCACATGTGCCTGCTGGCCAGACTTTCTTGGCAGCACACCCTTCTGCAAAAGTGAAGTTTGCCTGCTTCTGAGCAGGTGCTTGATTCCTTGGGCACCCTCGTCCCTAACAAGGGAGAGCAGCAGGAAGAAGCCCAGCGTGATCTCTGCTCCTGGTGCTCCTCAAATGCCAAGGTGCCAGAGGTTGGGGGAGTGCGTCCTGCACCCCAGAAATATCCACAGTGCCTAGAACCGTGCTCAGTACAGGGAGGGCTGGTCCATTGTTAATCAGACACGCACTTCCAGTGTTGTACAGTTCCTGAGTGCGTCTATCAAAAGAGTGCAAATTCAGGTCTTTCTTCCTTCAAGTACAGGTTCACAGTGCAAAGCCCTTTTCCCTCTTCCTTAATCTTGGTTGGGTTTCTGGATACAAAGTTGTTGGTGTATATGCGTGGATAGGATTATTATAAGTGAAAATAGAATTTTCCCCTGGCAATATCTGTATACATTCAAAAAGTGATGTCTATCCTACACTCATGTTATGTTTTTCTTGTAGTTCTTTCCCTTTTCTCATCTTTTTCTCAATATTCTATGTAAGTAATAATAGAGATCTTTTCTATTCTTCATATGGCTGCCTTAAACTTCACTGTCTTTAGGAATACAGTTATATGTAAAGTCTCCAGTGACAAATAACTTCAACAGAAGGAAGCTCTTTGATCCTGTTTTATATCTAAAAAAACATACTCAACACTATCTTCAACTATCTCTTGAGAATCCAATTTCCTAAGGTTATGTGCCTGAGACTGAGTGGGAATTTTAAATACCTAGAATTCAAAGTTAAGTACTGAATTCAAACAAAGCCTGAGCAATCCAGCCTGAGACTCGTACGTATGGCCATAAACAACAAAGGAATCTTCCAGCGGCTGCCCGTGTGGTAACTGTGGTTATGGCTTCACAAAGCAAGTCTCTTGCCTCAGGCCCAAAGGATTTGGGGGCTGGTTTTCCTAAGCAGAATTTCTAGAGGATGTAATAGTCTCTCACCAGAAGCAGCCGGAGCATGCTAGCAGATGCTCCAGTGAGTGGTAGGTGTCAAAAGAGTAGGAGACTTTGAGGGGAAATTCAGTGACCACCTGAACTCCTTCTGAGGCATGTCCTGGTTGGTGGA